CTTTTGTCTTCCCAACCTGAAGCCTGACTTACGATGCGTGGAAGCAGACTTGACGGGGCCACGCCTGGGACAGAGAACCGCATACATTGATGAACTTGGTATTCCGATGTTTCAAAAAACCTCGAAGGCAAAGTCACTTCAATGCCATGTGCCTTGTTTTGAGCATAGCAATGGCAAGGGTATTTTGGAAGTATCATTCATAGTCTGGCGCATCGGCACACAGGAAAAGACTGCGATGAGTCTCTCAATCAGTATCCCACACATTATCAAATGGGTGGACGATTCAAGCACTTTCACCCAGGTTGGTATGAAACCCGAAGGTAGCATGAGAGTCATCGAGGCTACCCGGACACAGAAACAAATAAAATTCAATGCTTGGGGCTCCGAAGGATCACGTCTTTTTCAGGACAATCGCATAATGAAGAGTACATCGTCGAGAGCCGTCAACGGATGGCGCACCTTGCAACGTCTTGACTCAGATGCGTCAATCGTATTTGCCCGTAAAAAGTCCAATTATGCGCCAGAAGGTGCATTGGATATGTTTGACCCCCAGTACAAGATCGCGTTCCGGGATTTTTGCCCGCTCGTGGTCAGCCAATATACAGGATGTACACCTGCTTGCGATTGGAGCTTCTGCAGAAGCAATGACGCAATTTTCCGTGTTAACCATGAACCTTCAGTCGTCTCATATAAAAATTCAATATTCTGTGAAGATGTCATCTCAGGCCTACCGTACACCGAATTTATTACCGGAATGAGGACATGGGGAGAATGTGTGTTCGTAAACGGCATACACCTGGCGATATATGTGGTGAGGATGCCATAGTATAAGTCGTGTGTTCACTTTCTGATAACAAACCTTTGCCAGGATCTCGGTTACGCAGGACAACTTCTCGTACATCGCTTGTAGCTCCCATGTTGAGCATGGAGGGATGTTACTGGCCGTACCATATTAACACGCGTTATTCAGGTGTGCGAGGCCGCAAGCTATGATTTTTGCATTTGCTAGATTGTATGGTGTGGTGTACACAAATTTCCAGAGACTGTAAGACTGTAACGGGTACGTCGCTCGGTCGTCTGTGGCGCCATTCGCACGGTCGGCCACGCAGTGGCCGTAAAGCTACCTGCCTCGCGCCGTCCCGCCACAATCTCGTTTTGCTTACTATGCCTCGTTTTGGAGGCTCCCTTATGCATACTATACACGTAAGTGCTGGTTTTAGGGCTATCGGTCGGGGGAGATCTGAGATGTTGAAGGGGAGGTGGTGATGGAGAGGTACGAGGAATGGACGGTTTCGTATAAAAGATGCTTTGTGTGTAACGTAGATAGTCAGTCTTGGAATTGCGACGTTCGCCAGTTCTGGTTTCCGCGTAATCTTGCACCGCAAGCCCAACGTGTTTACCGACCATCAGGATCAACGCGCCGCCGCTCACCGCATCGCGTAGTCTCAAGGCCGGGTTTGTCACAAGGACGCAGTGTGCAAATGCCCCATATTACATCTTGATAAGCATGATAACGACACGTTTGAGAGACAATGGTGCAGCGAGCAAATAACAACTGTTAGTAGGGACAAACCATGTCCAGTGCCGTAATCAAACACTATCTGAAAGAGTATATAGTCGATGGCTAATCTCAATGAGCGTAAAAGGCATGATCTGAGATATGATCAGCATAACCGGGAGATTTGTATGACAACCGAACTCTGTACGAGAACCGGTATGGTAGACGTACAGTGCGTAGTCTGTGAGGAATGATGCAAGCATGGGAGTACAGTATGGACAGGCCTGGAAAGCCCTATTTGGAGTCAACAGCGACATTCGGGGCTCACACGGAGGCTTGCAAGTGGCTCATACGGGAGAATTGTCTCAACTGACAACGGAAAATAAGCGAAACAAAAACCCTGCGCGAACAGTCTGTTCCGAACGCTATCATATATGAACTTGAATGATCACGGCTACATTAGTTCTCAGCCTACACCCAACCACTTCGGCACCCATCACATCCCAAACATGAAGTAAGCTGAGTTCACGAGTATGTGCTTTCAAATCGCCCGCTTCTCCAGAGATTATATGTTGATAATACCCCAGATAAGGGCTCGATGCATCTCGTTTGGTCGACACCGGAATTGCTTGAGAATCTGACACATATGGCCGTGATCCTTTGCTCACACAGGACATGTCCTTGAAAGGGAATATAGACATTAGATATCACTGCAGGCTCAGATACGAGGACGTCTACATGCTCTATTGCATTTTCAGGAATGATGGACTGGGAGAAATGGCTTGATATCTTCAACATTGCCAACAGCTCAGTGACAGAACAGGCGACGAATTCTCCACTTGGTCTCTGGCTCTTACATGATTTACGTTGCTTTGAACGAGTGAGATGTTGTTCGCAGGCAGGACTTCATAGTTCGATGCTTATTCTTCTCCGGTTGTATTCCTCATACGCTGCATCACATGGAAATATATCATGCGATTTCGTGTGTGCGCGACGCTGATGCCCCGCTACGAAATGTGGGAGAGAAGGTGGAATTAATTACTCCTTCATCTCACAAGACCGTCTCTCGCTCGAATTATTTATTTTCCGTACCCCAAGTCTATCTCTTTCCGAATGTAAACTGTTTTGTCCAGCTGATGCTTGATGTTCTACTTTGTAGGATGAAAATTATGCATCATGAGTGAATGAGACATAATGGCTTGAGCGTTCAACTCGGCCAGTCTATCGGTGCTACAAACCGTACGCCTGTCCCGCTCATGATGCAACCACTCCCACAGAGCAGCCCTGGAGCCCAGGGCTCGAACTCGTTGCAAAAAGCCATGTGAACCCGCGGTCGGGGTTATACTATTGCATGGTATGTGCCCGGTGAGTGGTAGCACGTTCTGGTGTCGAACAACGTCGTTGGTTGATGCGGACGACGACGAATGACAGTCAGACAATGGTACTTACACGGCCCTCCGGGTGAGCCTATTCCCTAGCGTAGTAGTCCAGCGCTCTAGTCTTTGCTTTTGAAGGATGTAATAGTGATCAATATATACCGTTTCCATTACTTACTCGCATGTACATGGGAATTTCAGGGACAAAAACACTTCGAAGATATGCCTCCCTCGACATTGTCTCCAAAGATCCTGTGCAACGCTCTGTGCATGATTCTGTGTGGGGTAGTAAGCTTAACAAATAAATGTATGTGGGATAGATAGACGGACAGGTATAGCTCTTGCAGCTCGCCGACAAAGCCCTCCGGGTCCTGAATGCAATCCCCAACAGCATTCAGATCATATGAAACATCGACAGCCGCGACGTCTCTCGTAATGTCTTCCGCAAGCAGCGTTTGAAATAGCGCAAGAGTTGAGCCAATATCTGACGTATGTAGTGCGATGAGTGACGAGTTACACTGTCAATAGGTTACCCACCGTCGTGAAGAACATCAAGCTGTCTATCGGGGGAACATGGTTCCTCGTCACGGCTGTAAGGTATGTTGTAGGGAACGGCTGCTCCACGAGTGGCTGCTTTCAGTTTACTGAGGTGGGTGATACAGGCCCCGATAGATGGGTGGCGCTCTTCTTGCAGGTGGCTTTGCGAGTGATGCATTGCTCGGAAGAAGGAGCATAGGTCTGCGGTTGAGAGGGAAATGGCCATAGAACAGTCCTTTCGGGTTGTCGTGACACGCACCGAGTGGATACCCGCCTCTGTGTCCAATGCGCAGCCGTCGATTGGAAATCCGACAGCCACAGAGAGTTCCCCTGCAGTGCTCATCGCCTCATGGGCTAAAGATATAGCAGATTGGGAGCGGTGGATCGACTGCGGTGTATAGGGAGCCGAGTTCCACAGGTCGCGAACAAATGCGAGTGAATACCTGTTAGTGGCTTTGGTGCGTAGTGGCAGCCCGGGTCCCTGACGTATGATTCAGTCAATAGAGCATAGTGTTATGAAATAAATTATAGATTTACCACACTAGCGACTAGAGCAACGTAGTCGCGAACCTCCAGTAGCTCAGCCTCTTTTATCGCTATCTCGTCAAGGTGTTCGACAGATAGACGAGGGTTCAATCGGACAACGACAAAATCGCATGGCGACGGCATGCTTGTGCGGGGCGGGCGATCCGGGCGTTGTGGGAAGGAAATGACCCGAATGGGACCTAAGGGCGAACAAGTCATAGTACTGGATGCGTCTTCACGAGTGTAGTTGGCTGCGTGCTATCGGGCACGGGTGCGAGTGAAATTTGCGACTGGACAGAACCGATCTCCTTTATGTACCAGAGGGTGCAACGAGTCAAAGTCGACGTGCCCCAAGGACGTATGACAATTTTGGGCGAGCTTGACTTGAAACGCGGAGACATCGAGACGCTGTATATTCCTACATGAGCCGAGTACCTCAGTTTTCACGACCCATATTCAAGCACAGACATCTGTATCAACAGATGTCTGATTCCCGTCGGCAGCATTGTTGAGCACAATTTAATCACCCATAGACATCGAAAAATAGTCCGGACTGGGTCATCGAGAAGCTACACGTGTGATACCGATCCAACGCACTGCTGATGTTAGTGCCACGAGGACCGTGCACGAATAATAGCGCGGCGTAGGGGAATCCTCGAGCACAGAGTCATAGGTACCTCTAAAGAGTCCGTCGATGAGACTGCGACGAGCCTTGGATTGACCGTCGGCCCACGCACGTACGTGCCTCTCATAAAAGTCATCAGAGCTGCGCGAGCGTGTGCTCGTAGTGGAGCGAACGGTTCCTTCGAAGACGCGGCGGACGACGTCTTGAAAGATTTGGACCTCGTGGAACAATCCTTCAAACAAGTTCTCGACGCTCCGTAACTCTCTCGCCAGGATGTACCGTCGAGCCTCTCACCTTTAACGCAAACGCTCAACAGTCAGGTATTGGATGATCACCACCTGCCCTGAGCATTCTAGCCTCGAAAATTGAATGCGCGTGAAGTTACATAAAATACCCTGGCCGGCCGAAGGAAGTCTAGTAGAAACACGGCATGCGTAGTCTAAGCAGATTCACGGTCCGATGATTCCGGCTCCTGGGCAGTGAAAAAGGTGTCCGTCGAGCTCATTGGAGACACTGCGGAAGGGCTCTCTTGGCTCCCGTGAGCTGGGAAGAAAGGAAATCAGTGGATGTGAACGGTGCACGGGTAGAGGTATATTTACCTGCGGATAAGGCGGCTGTGGGAGATTCGTTCACGTCGGCTTCCAGGGCGACCTCTCCAAGCATGACTCGTCTCATGAGCGCTATATCTGATACAATTGTTCAGCTCATTAATGATTGGCATACGTTATCGCAATGAATAGTCGGGTTTTGCGTAGGACACATACCTCGCGTAATAGCACGCAAGTCCTGTGAGGCTTGCATGGATGATTGTGCCAGGAGCAGAGTCAAAACTATTAAATATGTGAGTCCATTCCGGAGGGCAGCTTCCTCAGAGGCGCTCCCGTTTGCCGACTTGCTGGTGGCAGGGCTGTTTGTCAAAACGTCCGGCTGTAACACGGCCAGGGCGTCGGTCTCATCCCCGCCGTATACGATAGGTAACCCGACTCTCTCCGGGAGGTCGCTCGTGCCCTAATTGGCACCCACCAGAGTCAGCAATATCTCCCATCCCTTGAAGCGCTGACCACGTACTTTAATGTTTAAGTTCAGACTCTGGCAGTCCTTGACGTGCAGTTTCACGAGTTTGCGAAGGGGCGTCCAGTACTGGCGCTCGCGCCAGCGGGATACGTCTGATTGAAGCTCGCGGTGAATCTGAGCGCTGAGACACCTACAGCATAGGAAGTTGAGATCAGCCGTTGACATTTCCATGCGTCATGGCCTGGTAATGACGCACCGGCGTAGCTCCTGCTCCAGAGTCACGAGCTGCCCGGGGTGGCAACGCTCGATGACTCGCGCCCGCTCTTCGTCTGCTCTCGCGTTTGTGAGATTCCTCTCTGCGGTAATCAACAGCTTGGCAGATTCCGCAAGCAGGCCATTTACGGTGGCCTTCGTTTGGTATCTTTCCAGCAAAGCCCGCACTGCCGTTATGGCAAGACCGAATCCCACGTCCACTGGCATCGATGACCGGGAAAGTTGTAGAAAAGCGGTGAAAAATGGGCAAACGGATAGTCTATCGCAAGAGAACTGTGGCGGTAGCCGCGTCTTCCTTGATAGGTCTGTCTATGTACTTGACCACACTATGAGCCGCTAGGGCAGAGGGTGGTAACGCTTTTTAGATCTGCGTCCTGAACGCGGACCTGCCTGGTCTTCATCGTAAGGCAAGAGCGAGCGTCGGGCGCCGAACAGTAGCGTGCCTACTCCTGACCGTTTCTTGCCCTTCAGCCGTAAATGTAGACACTCTCGCACGTACCTACATGCACGAACCGGTCTCGTCATTCCGTCGACCAGACGGGCGGAGGCGCTGCGACCTGGGCACCTTGCAAGACCGCTTCCCGCATGTCTTTCATGCATTCCGTGTTTGTCATCCATTCAGAGGGAGAATAGTCACCCAGTCTACCCTAATTACCTTTGATCGATGGAATTCAGTTTCTCATTACGGATAGATCACTAGTGCACGATCCCGCTCAGGCTTTCGTCGCACCGTTTGTTTCTTTGGTTCTAATGTGCTACAAGAACGGGGTCTCCTCAAGGATAAACGAGGAACCACGCTACGGGCAATGTACCAAGAATACATAAAATTATAAATGTTCTACGTGCCGATACCTGCAGCCAGTACGAAGTAGTTTGCTATTGAGTGCCTGAGTCAGGGTCTGGGCCGACGTGGCAGGTACTTCTCGAATTTCAGGACAAGATGATAAGTGAGCCTTACAAAGTGTTTCACAGTAGAGACACCGTTAAGTCGAGCGTAAAACTCCCACGCAGCAGCCAATACTAGAGTGGTGGTGTGAGATTAATAACGGTCGCGACAATTACACCAAACGGGAATCAGAGGTCCTTGGGCTCTTGTTGCCTGATGTACATAAAAACGCGACGGGCCTCCCATGCTTAACTGGTTCAACGATAGCCGCGGAGATGACTGACCTGATGCCACGCTTTCGACGAAATGTTGACTTGGACGGTACAGCCCGCAATCGACCGGCAGGAACGTGGTTTGCGGGCGCAGAGAACTCCACTAAGACAGAGGCTCGCGATGGCGATGGCGATGTCACTAATCCAGCATACATGACCGTGAGAGCAGGGTCGCAAGTCACAGAAGGCGGCGAGGACGGCTAGGTGCGCGAACTATGCGTGGCACAATCTAGACATTGCACAGTCAATGCAATATGCCGGTAGCAGAGTGTCGCACTATTCATATTGATAAATGACGAGACAATCGTCGAGCGCGGGTCAAGGCCCAGTAAGCCAAGAAGTAATGTTGCACCCTCGCCATTATCTCAACTTCGCGCACCACGTCAGGAATGACGTGCACTCCGGGCGTGAGGCAGCACTCCGGGCGTGAGGCAGCACTCCGGGCGTGAGGCGGCACTCCATGCGTGAGGCGGCACTCCATGCGTGAGGCGGCATTCCATGCGTGACGAGGCACTCGATTCGCGCGTCGTATTCCAGGTCCGCTGTCTAGGGACGATATGCACCTTCACCTCACAAACACCATTCGAGACTGGTCTCGCCTCGGACGTTTGGGAGTCGTGGCTGCTTGTGATGAGTGTTTTAGCTCGTGTGATCACCGTACCAACCAAAGTATGCAACTTGACGCACTTGAGATCAGCCGCACCGAGATAGATACTGAGCAAGCGTGGTGGTAGTCTGCCAAAAATAACGCGCAAGATATGAATACGATGCGGGAGACGGCCTGGTCTTGGTCAGTTAGACATAAACGCGCAGACGTGGGCAAGTAGCTGAAAACTGTAGCTTCGTCTGTTTGTCGCTCGCAGTTGATATGCCCACCCGCAGGTTCTATGTCATCTGCATACGGTGCAACCTCAAAGTCAGACAGAAGCAGACTTCTTACTGTCTGTGACGTAGGGTACAAGATCATGAAACCAATGGCTCTGGCAGCTCGCCGTCAACGCGCACCTGCCATGGTAGCACATGCGTTTGTACATTAGACCGGTGCCCGCCCATCGACGTCTCGCAGATCCCTCTTTGCTCAAGCTTCACCGGGAGCAGTTGTCTGTCTGTAAACGGGAGGGCATTGGCGATGCCAGCGTGAGCGATGTTCGGAGTCTTACCGAGCGCTTGGGCGCGCCAAGCTAGACGTCGCAGTAGCACCACGCCGTCGTTGCTTTGGTAGCTTGACCAAGACGTGTTTCGAAAGGCGGGAATTATACTGTCTCGTCTCATTTGTATGTATCAGCGTGGATCCGGCGGGTAACGATGGCAAACTTGACGCACATAGTGCGGTGGATCACTGAGATGACCGGGGTGTCCTTCTCCTTCAGAATAGCCGCGACCGCAAACAGCAGCCACACAATTGGCCTGTCTCTTCCTCTCACCCCCATTGAGAAGATTTGCCAGATCGTCAGTGTCAGTGGCTATAGGGCGTGACGAAGTTTGAGTCTGAGAGAAAGGAGGAAGGAGTTTTATTGGCTGGCTCCGCCCTACATGCAGTATAAGGGCACCTTGCCTTTGCCGCGCACCCTGCACGCGCACGGCGCGCAGCAGATGAACCTTGCTGATGCGCTTTCCGAATCCAGATCAACTGTCTAGCTTTCTCAACTGGTAATTGTCTCAGCTAAGCGAGTTTTCTATGTATAACGGAGTCCGTATTTGGG